CTTGTAGGTGCATTTACAGCAGCCATGGTGAGACAGTGGCCTTGCCATGTTTCCATCACATCCGAGCGCTATCACTTGTAGAAGTGAACGCTGTTGTTAAACCGTGCTGCTGGTTCCAGCAAGTTCAGCCACTGAGAAAAGCCTGAGCTGCAAAGTGAACTCACTCAATAGAAAATCAGTTCTGTTCAGCTCAAACCAGGACAACGGGCTGGGTTCTCACCACGCCAAAAGGGGAACCTCAGCTCTGTGCCCTCCTTTTCCCCCTTTCCCTTTCTCCCTTCACTGACCTTGGTGTTTTTTTAAGTTCTTCTGCTCAGACCCCACTCCTTTCTCTGCTGCAGGTCCCTTCTGATGGTTCTGAAGAGTTCCCAGCTCTCTCTTTTGGGCTGGAGCTGCAGCGGGGCTTGAGCTTAAGTTGGGGCTGGGTCAAGAGAGAGGATGCGCTGCTCCCCTCTTAAATCCATTAATTGGCAGGGGCGCTGATTGGCTTGGCCCTGGTCAGAGGTGGGTCTGACATTGGAAAAATGGGGAGCTTTTCAGGTGGCTTCTCGCAGGGCCATCTCCATAGCCCCGCACCCACAACCAAAAAACCCCTCACAGAAAACCCAGTGCAATAATAAATTAAGTTCTTAAGAGCTTTACAGGTAAGGAAACTGTGCTCACCAGATCCTGGGCTGCTGTTGTTCCAGCTAGACACTCGTAAAGGCTCATGGAGGTGGTTAATTCAGGGTCTTTGCTTTCTTGTATCGTCTCAATCCTTAATTAAGGTATTAATTAATGAGGGATTTCTGTTCTAGGGCTGGACCGAGTGCCACGTCATGGACATGAATGAGTTTTTCACCCGTTGTATTCCAGAGGATGAGCAGCAAAGAGTGCAGGCTCTGGAGCCCTTCGATGAGTACGAGGTAACCCCTCCTTTACTCTGAGCACCGGTGATGTGGGTGTCTGAGGTTTCTTATGGTCACAGGTAGAAAAAGCTGCTTAATATCTTCATTAAGGAGATAATTGAGTGGGATTGAGTGCACCCTCAGCAGGTTC